AGCGAAAAGTTAAGTGGCTCGCCCAGCGTGGGTAGCATTTGTGGCGTTATCAAACGCAAACAATATACACACAATACATGCATACATAGGCAGCAACAATAATATAACCAGTGTTGCCAGGGTGATGATTTGCTCGTAATGTTGCAGATTTTTTACGGCCATGACGATTTGACGTTTGGTTTTTGCCCCACTGACGATTTTTTTGCCCCAATGAGAATTTTTCTTTATGTACAAATTGGGTGGGTTATCAACTTTGAAGATAGTTACACGGACAACTAAAAACTTGTTTACCATTTGTGCCAATACATAATTCTCGTATCTAAATTATATCATATGGCAGCACTAACTGTAGTTGTCGATAAGTAGTTTTCTTTTCTGTTTCATCACTATTTGTGTGGTTTTTGCGTTGTGTACAGATACATATTTTATTGAGCGAAGGAAATTATGAAGAAGTTATTTAGCAAAACTTGTAAGTACTAAAAATTTTTAATGCAAATGGTAAAGTTGCAGTTGGCAAATATTTGATGTTCTCTCAACCTCAGCTGCCGAGCCATAAGATCCTGCTTTCCAAGAAAACTCAACTCTTGAGAGAATTTTGTTCACACGGGGCTTATTAAAACGAAACGGTTGTTCTTGTTTGGAGTTTGAAATGTAGCGCATTCAAAATTGTTCCTGATTAAAGCTTAGTATACAGCTCTCAAGAAAATCGAAAAATTCATATAAAACCACACTCAGGAAATGAAAAAGAAATGCTATTCTATAAAAATTTCTTAAATCAGTCTGAAGATCTTAAGAGAAAAAGCGCTTGTGTATATAGTTCTTCAAGAAAATTTACACCAACGGCAAAGTTCTTTTTCAAGCAACAAAAATAATGAAAATAAATTCTTGTGATTTTTCTAGAAAGCTGTAATACATAATATGTACCAGAGAACAACTTTGTGACAAAAACAAATGTTATACGACTTATTCAGAGCTTCACTAATCAATATTAAATTTATCAGACTATTAAAATTTGAAATGTTTAATTTTCCGAACAAAATTGTGTATTTTTAAATTTTAACAGGCTGATAAATTTAAAATTGATTAGTGCAGCCGGGCATTAATGATGTAAAAATTAAGATGAAAATGCGATTTTATTGCAATTAAAAATATTTTTAAAAATTCATAAAAAAGTTAAACTTATTATTTTTACGTATATCAATCAGAAAAAAACCAAAAGAGCTTCCTGGTTCTGTTTATAATTTATTTCTTAATATGTTGACGATTTTTACATGCAAATGACGAGTTTTGAGAACCGAATTGAAGATTTCTCACTTCAGTGGCCTGGCAACACTGATGTCTTTTGCTGTTGTTGTAGTTGTCTACGATCGCATGTTAACGCTGCTTGAGTGGCGCCTACAACGGATTTTCATGTCATTCGAATTGTTCACTAGCACCGGGAGGGGTGCGTGGTTGCTCATCGCTTTAACGCCGGCAGGAGGCCACAAATTATTTGCATACAAATGCGTGCATTATACATGCGTACACTTGTATGTATGTATATGCCTATGTACGAGTACATAGAATGTTTACTATTCTACAAACTCATCGCACGAACATTTAGGTAATAAAAAGGTTAATTTAATGCATTGTGAGGCGAATAAATGACATTTGTGCTTCGCGCTGGTTGTTTGTTCTATTTTTAAGATGGCGTTTGTTAAGCTAATGAACCCTATTGGCTTATCGTTTATGTAATAAAGTTGTATTTATAAATACAAATGTATTTAATTAACTGAATAGAATTACTACTGATGTTTGAGATATAATTTTTTATATATTAATATGAATTGCTTACAACATGTCTGCCATATGTACGCATGTGAATGAAGACAGTAGTATTGAATAATAGAATCATTAGGTGTAATTTTTATAAGCTTATAATTAGAAAAAAGTGTTAATCAAAGCATTTAATAATTAGAGCGTAAATGTGCACAAGGGTATTATAACGCATGGTATTGCAAATGGGCAGAATCGCACAATAACCACATCTACTTCCTATATTGTATTCAGCGTTGCCGAAAGCTTTCACTTGAAAATCGTCACTTTCCTCTAAAAAAATCGTCATTTACGACAATTTAAAACTACAATCTAAAACACAACTGCCTTTAAATAGCTATAGTTGAACTCTACTGGTTTGAAGTTTTTGATTCAGTTTTAAAGTAGGGGTCTTCACACCGAGCTTGGTACTCAGTGTTCGGTGATTTTGCAATGTTTTTCGTTTGTGTAAAATCGTCATTACGGGGGAAAATCGTCAAAACGTCTTTGAGCTCAAAAAACCTCAAAATGACGAGAAATCGTACTGAAGCGTATTCACTCAAAATTATATATATCTTGGTAACCGGCCGACCAATTTCTCCCAAACTTGGCACAGTTATTGGCCTTGGTACATACAGCATACGAAACGGCAGAAAATTTTTAAAATGGGACTATAACCATGCCCATATCTCATACAACGGTAATTTAAAGAACATTTTGCCGATAGGTGGCGCAGGAGTCGAGATATTTGAAAAAGATATTTTATTATTATTATTAAAGTCAAAGCTAGTATAATATTAATTGCAAGATTTCAAAAGACTAAAAAGTAGAAATTAAAATTATAGTTAAAAACTAAAAACAATGCTTTTATTACAACAAGAACTAAAAAGTATAAAATAATTTATAGATATAGTGATTCTGTTTAAGAAGATTAGGAAGTTCCCTAATCTTTTTTAATTTATCTTTGTTAAATTAGCTAAAACTAGGATTAAAGTGATTGGCCCGTAGCTATAGTCAAAATAAAGTCCCTTGTAAAGTTTGTTGCGGTTTTTTTTTACAGATATCCCATTCAAAATTATGTCAAAAAGCTGCAACTAACTTTACAGTGGACTTTATTTTGACTATAACTACGGGCCAATCACTTGAAACCTATTTTTAGCTAATTTAAAAAAGTTAAATTAAATCAAGTTAGGGAACTTCCTAATCTTCTTAAACGGAATCACTATATCTATAAATTATTTTATACTTTTTAATTCTTGTTGTAATAAAAGCATGTTTTTAGTTTTTTAACTATAATTTTATTTTAAATATTTTGTATACCCTAATACATATACCCTTTCTGTTTAGTATTCGTATATCCATATGTTTGTGTTTCCAAAATTTAAAAAAAAAAAAAAACTTAACACCTAAAGCGTAAAATAGCAAAAGCTATTATAATGCATCTGTGTTACGGTAGTAATTAATTGCTTTTACCGCCACTAAAAGTAACTCGAGCAACTGAGATAAAAACGATGTATATATAAAGTTTAGCGAGTGGACAAAAACCGCTGTTGTAAACTTTATCCTACTCGCTATCTCACATAGGAGAGCATTAAAAGCTATTTAAAATAGTTGACCTGCTAGTTTTGTTGAATTTTTTACAACTGTCCTCTTAAGACCACATTACCAGCTATGCAGCTTTTTTATGTACTGGCATTAGAGAGCAAATAAACTTTTCATTGCTTGGTGAAAAACAAAAAAATTTAAAGTACAAATTCAACCGACCACTGTCAGTCCGAGGAGGACAAAAAACTGTAAAAAAGTTGCAACGACGCAAGTGGCGCTTTGTGAAAAATAGTTAAGATTTTTTCTCATTAACCTACTGAAGGATCATTCACTCTTTTATGAACTTAAGTAGCAGTACTCAACAGGACACACCGAATTGCCAACGAACGAACGATGGGCATTTGGTCATGAGACATGCTCTCCATTTGTACTGTTAGTGTAGTTAATGCAATATGGAAACAACTTTTGCTAGGTTGTGTATGTACACTAGGGTGGTGCAAAAATGCATGTGAAAAAGTTAAGTCGGAATTCTTATGCTTTTACATCAAAAAATATTTAGAGGTCGCTCAAAGCGCTCAAAGTTGTCCATGTATTTTATATGGGTAAAAACACTTTTCGTAGAAATTTTATAAAATTCTTGAAAATCAATATATTTCGAGCCCTGTTTCTCTTCATGAGATTCCCGCTAATAATGCCTACTTACTTATTTTACAATTTTTTCATAGCAACTATTTTTATGTTTTACTAATTTTAGTTAGTTGACGTCGCCCAAAAAATGCGATTGGGGGACCAATAAAAAATCCTTAGTATTCAAAAATTTTTAAATAAATAATTGGGTATTATTGCTGGAAGTCTCCAGAAGAGAACCCGAGTTTTCCCAATGAAAAATATTGATTTTCAAGAATTCTACACTATTTCTACGAAAAGTTGTTTTTTTCCCATATAAAATATGTACACTGAAAAGAAGTTTGAGCGCTTTGAGTGACCCCTAAATATTTTTTGATTTCAACATAAAAATGGGTATATTTTATTCGATATAGGACAACCCTAGATAGTGAGAGCATTAAAATTCCAACTTTACTTATTTTGGAGCACCCTAATGTACACACGCGAGTGTATACATGTCCGCGTGTTAGTATGCTTTGAGTGCTGTGAAGAAACTTAAAACTATTATTGGAAAAGTTTCGTAAGTTCTAGTCGAAATGCGTTGGTCGCCGCTGCGTCTGGGATGACAGTGGACAAGTGACAAAAGCAGTGAGCAGCAGCGGCAGTGGATTCCAAATATTCTTATCCTTTTTAAGAAATCTTCATTAACTTTTGCTATGGCACTTTACTTAGCCCGAAAGGTCTATGCAATAACTGTTTATGAGTAGCGGTATTTTAACTGTAAGTTGTCGATTTAATTCAAAACTTTATTAATTTTGCGTGAACGTACTAGATTCCGGAACCAGGAGAGTCGCCGCATTCACTAGTACTGTACACAAACTTTACACAAACACGCATATCTACTTACATTGGAGTATCTAACCCTGTGAATATAAACTTTGTAAACGCTTTTTATCTGATGCTCTCGAGCTCATAATTTTTCAATTGCACGCACTTTACAATGCAATTTTAATGCAATTTCCTTTTTTTGCTCTCATTCTCTCTCCCTCCCACAGTCAAGCCGTACTTCATGAAGGAGCCACAGGATCTAACCGCACTCTCCGGTCAGACGGTGCAATTTCATTGCCTTGTCGGCGGCGATCCACCACCGAAAATTCTGTGGAAAAAGGAGGAAGGCAATATACCCGTAGCCCGTGCGCGTATACAACACGATGACAAAAGTTTAGAAATCACCAACATCTCGCCCGCCGATGAGGGCACCTACGTTTGTGAGGCGCACAATAGCGTTGGACAGATAAGCGCTCGCGCTTCGCTAACAGTTCATGGTAAGTGCGGGGGCGGGGAAGAGGTTACATGGTAGCGTGAACAATTGTTAGAACAATTGTGTTTTTTTTTTTTTTGTATTATTAAAGGTTTTTTTTTTTAGTGTGGGTAAGTCGCAAAGGTCGACCGGCGCATAACGAGCAAATGCTGAAGTTATTATACGTGAGTGGCAGTAGTGAGCGAAACTTTCCTAATTAGTGGGTTTTCGAAAAACTGCTTATTATTTGATTCACAGTGGAAATTTTTTCGAGTTTTTTTCACAATTTTTCGCGCTAAAATAAGGGAAAACGAAATCTTTTAAATACATACATATATGAAAAAAGTCTAAAATAAAAATAAATAACTTTAAAAATTAAATTTCGCAGTGTAAACTAAAGGAAAAAAATATAATTAAATTTTAAAGTAAAAACTAAAACAAAATTTAGGAAAAAAGCGATGGTATTCAAGTGCTCATTTTGGATATCTTTAAGCGATAACCCTTCCGTGATCGATTTTGTGCTCCCCCTTTTTTTGGGTATGCAATGTCCAGAGTTTCAGTTTCTTCTGATTGAGCTTTAAATCTAACTTTACCCCAGACACACACCGACACGTCTACTGCGATTTTGAAAGATCTTCTAATACAGCTACCAAATAGAAGGTTTTATTCGAAAGGGCTCATTTAGAACTATTCCCCATTTTGTCGTCTGTTTTCATAGTTATGTACACTACCAGCCAAAAGTATTTACCCAGAGGATTTTTCACAACATATCGTCGCCTGAGTGGAAGATCGACCTATGCCGTCAGCCATTTCGAAAACGCCCTATCTCACAAAACTCCTCAAGAACGCCCTATCTTAGAATTTGATTGAAACACCCTATCACAGAATTTGGTTGAAGTACGCCCTATCTCAGCTGCCGATTCAAAAACGCCCATACTCATCACATTTTCATTTGAGATAGGACGTTTTTGAACCGAAGAACGCCCTATCTTCAATCAAATTCTGAATTTGGGCGTTGTTGAAAAGTTTTCTGTGATAGGGCGTTTTCAAACTGACTGCCGAGATAGGCCGATGTACCACCCAGATAACGATATGCTCTAGTCATCTCCTCAAATCATGAACATAGGAGATTATATGCTTTGTACTGCTGCCCATGCTCTTAGTTCAGGTCGCTTTCTCGCACACTCTTCTGCTTTCTCAATTCCCGGAATACCACTATTTCTCGGTATACAGTAGAGCATTGAATGCAGCTTAACTGTACACAAACTAGTCGAGCTTTGCTGAAGCCGGGTTGATACCGCTCACCAGCTTCGCCTGAGTTGTGTTGTCTAAAAATTTTTTTTCGAGAATGATTTCAGCTCAGTAAAAAATTTCAAAACCACTCCACTCTGCAACTGTAAAATATTAAAAATCTGCACAAATGTACAAGTCGAGTGATACCTGCTTAAAGCCGGTCCTACACTTTGGGGCTATTAACATCCAGAGCATTATTTTCTGTATAGCTCGATAGGTTGTCTAATGTCTCAACCAAGTTTTTAGTGTGCCCTCTGTGGAAGAAGCTGTGAGTAACAGGACTCTTAGAAAGGCATCTTTGACGTTGATCCGAGTTCATCACGGAGTTAGGATCGCAATGCGTTTTGATTATTTTTTATCTGCTTCTTAAAGTATTGAGACTGCATCGGCGTCGCAATGACTTCCAGTCTTCCGCATTCTTGGCAAACTTTAACCCATTAAATGCTTTCCTAGCTATTGTCACGTGCTCACCTTAGCTTCACCGTGAAATAGTTTGCGTACTGTTTGGAAGCTTTGCTTTCAGAACAAGTTACCATTCTAAAAAGGAGCTCACAAGACCAACAACCACTGTCTCCAACTGGTTGAGCTCGTCTCGTCCATATTAGTTCGATACACTAACCGATTGTAGATAATTCAGTCCCCCCCCTGCGAGGGCTTGGAAGTTTAACCCCCGCCGTTAAGACAATGCCGTCAGTCAGTTTGACATCCTTTGCCCTGTAAGCACATAAGCAGTTTGTTTATTTCCAAATTCCATAGGACTGTTGAACGAACTCCACCTTGTTGTGCGCCTCCGCTTAAGTATCTAGTGGTGGACACCTTCCCATCTCCGCGCAACTTCTCGTACTGACGGGAGTTGGATAAATTCTACAATACACTGAAAATCCTGTGTGGAGTAAAAACTGAATTACTGCATCTGGATGGACGTTATTGAATGCGTGCCTCTTCTTTATCCTACTTCAAAGCCCATTTGCTTGAAGGCAGACGGCCTTTCTTACAAAAGGTACAAGTATGTAGTGCTGCACCCATACATATATCAGTCCTAAGAGTACCCGCGGCAGTTTTACAGCTGGATGTCGGGTTCCACATGAAGGAAACTGCATCCTCTCGCAGAATGCGAGACCCTTCTCGGCTTGTAAGGGTTTGTTAATAAAGACCTCAGCAAGCCAGCTGCTACTTGCGATTCGGCGGGAAGAGATTATCTTAACCCGGATATGACTGTCCAATCTTCATTTGTTTGACGCAGAATGTCTACCAAAAACTTTGATATTCTGGACCAAGGAACAGTTGGTGTATCAGGGAAAATGGGTAGTCATGAGTATGTTTGTCATCTCGTAAATATACATTGGGTTGAAAGAGCGCCTTTCGTAAACGATTGGCCCAACATTTTGGGCTAAGTATATCATTGCAGAAATTTTTCCACTAATCAATTGCTGAGTGCTCTTAGAGTATTCTAGGCTTCGCAAGAACTGATTCGATTGGCTTAATTAAAGAGCCTCCTACCCTTCTTTCTTAGAAACGCTCTTTCATTGCTACATCAGCAAGGGCTACATTACAAGCGTCTGTGTTGCAGCCTACAGTTTAGTCAATTCTTTCAACTAATAAAATTATAGTTTAAAAAACTAAAACTCCCTATTATAATTGCCATTCGTACTGTCATCAGGTATGTAACTTGAGAACAGCGTTGCCACTTGAGAATATTTTAAGGTACCAAAAAGCCTACCAAATCAGTTTGCAAACTACCAAAACATTTTTTATCAATAAAATGAGATTTTATTAAATTTACAGGTTTTGCAGATTAACAGTAGGTGTTAATTAAAATACCAAATAATATGGTTTACTGTGCTACAGTTGGTTATCCATTCATGCAATACTTGAAGTTTACACAATATAAATTCGGGCGTTTAAATAAATTAATTAACGTATCGTATAAAAAACATTTATAAGCATTGTATATAGTTTTGATATTAATTCAATTCATATCAAACATTTTGATGTGTAAAACAACAAATTCAGACATTTTATGCGTTTAAATAAAAGTTAGGTTGTTCACACTTGCTTGGTAAACAGCTCTGCGTTTACGGACCCGTACACACTGAAGTTGCTTTATATATCGCTAGTAAGATCAAGACTGGACTATGCTTGTTTTATTTGGAGACCATATATTGCCTCGCATATAAGCCAAATAGAGCGAATTCAAAAGGTTTTCATCAAATGGGCTCTTTGCTCACTGAATTTCAGTGAACCTATACCACCTTACGAATCTCGTTGTCAGCTTTTGGCTTTAAAGCCCTTATATCGCAGGTTTGCATTTCTCGCTTGCTCTTTTGTTGCAAATGTTATGAACAGCTCCGTTGACTGCCCAAGCCTTTTAGAAAAAATAACGTTCAATGTCCCTTTTCGTAACCTACGCCATTCTCAATTGCTCTATGTGGAGTTTTCTAAGTATAATTACGCTAAATTTGCTCCACTCTCAAGAGCCCTCTTAGAGTTAAATAATGTTCCAAATCTTGATCCGGCACTACCCCTTGCAACATTCCGTACCCTCTTACTTAGCTACTTTAATTAGTCTTTAAGTAAATTTGTTCAGTAGTCAGTAAGAATATATTGTTCATTTGACTAATATCATAAATAAATAAATATCATAAATAAATAAATAAATTTAAATTTTTCTTATCTTGTACTGTATTAAATTATTTCATTTATAATTCAGCTATTTTAACAACTACTCTTCCCATAACATTTCTTACAGCGCCACCCACGTTTGTGGTAAAGCCACAGGACAAAAAGGTCGGACTCAATGGCGTTGCTCAGTTTCCGTGCGTTGCCGATGGCAATCCACCGCCTTCGGTATTTTGGACAAAAGAAGGCTCCTCTACATTGATGTTTCCCAACAATTCCTACGGTCACATGCATGTCTCTGTGGAAGGCACACTACAGTTGAGTGGCGTACAAAAGGATGATGCTGGTTACTATGTATGCTCTGCCTTTAGCGTGGTGGATTCAACGACAATACGAGCATTCTTGCAGGTGAGTGATGGATGGAGACACTGAAAGTGAGTGTATACATACATATGTATGTGCATGATGGTGTGGACAAGTAATGCTAAGGGTAACGCTTAAATTGTCACCAAATGAATAAGGCTAAATTACTTAATTTTACATTTTCTTTTTGTTATTAAATTGAGGTTTTGTTGGAATTTTTCAAATTCATCTTTTCTGCTATCGAGACGAAATGTAGCATCAAACAAAATCACTCAATGTCTATTTTTGTCTATTGAATGTATGCGAAATGTTCATTATCTGAGTTCATTTGTTTGTAAATATTTCTACTTCCCTTTGTTGTCTTTTCCACTGCGCTTTACTCCTTCGGTTACACATTATCAAGGTATGAGACAATTTAAGCAAAAACGTTTCCATGGTTGCCTTTGTCTGCACAAACGGCCCGAAGGCTTTCAATTTTAATTTTTTTCGCTTTTGTACTTCGTTCAGTTGTTTCATAGTTTTTACTTGAATTTCAATTTAAGCTAAAATATATGAAAATGCAATTAAAGAAATCACTAAAATCAACTGTTTGTAAGCTTGCAGAAGGATCAGAGAAGAGCATAAGGCAAAAGACCAAGCAAAAAAAGCCCCGTAGGAACTGCATAGCTTTCTTCGCATTTTTGGTGGATTTTCGCTAGATTGACAAACCTGATAGATTGACCCCTAGCGCCACCTGAAAGAACTCAATTCTCAGTTTAGCAGTGATTTCAAATTTACTTTTAAGATCTCTTCTAATTTCTCGAATTGAAAGGCAGGCAGGTATTTTTATCGCGTTTTAGACAATACAGAACATGAGCATCTGCTGTTACGTTACGTTATATTTCATTGTGGGCGAGCACCGAATAGGGTGGAATTCCGATACGGCTGTCAATCTCCCCATAGATCTAACAGCAAGGTTCTCCCAAGTAGCTCGACTGGCGGCTGACTGAGAATTCTTTCTAGAACATCCGTTGGAGTTGTTCTTTACGCTCTCATATTACACAGTGCCGCGAGATTCTGTCCTTTCTCTTTCTTTCCTCGATATTGAGCTTTCACAGCAATTTGTGTGGTCTTTTATGGTCAAGTCAAATCCCTTGGGCGAGTAACTCCAAAATTTATAGAAAAAGTTTTTCAATAGCGTGAAAAAGCTGTTCATAGAAGCCATTTACTGGTCGTAGCCAGCCTACAATTGAAGGGCTTATCATTTGTGTGACAACATCCAAGCTGCACACCACAAATCGGAAGAGAATCTCGACCAAACTATCAACGAAAAAGTGAGCATAAAATTTTCAGTTCATCTTTCGCTTAACAAGATGACGGGGAGTCAACTTTAAAACCATTACTAAAAACCCTGTCTCCAGAAACATAATACAGATATGTACACAGAGACATTTCAAAGCTCTTAAGCCCTACTCAGAATTGCAGCGGTCGACGGTTAACCGCTGTAAAAACTAAAATTCACAAAGGCATAAGGAATGGTTCATAATTACGGCGGAAGCGTTTTTACCGCCCACGCTTTTCGGTTGATTTAAATTTATTTCTATTTTTAACGGCCAGCGGGGACGGCACGATGTTGATTGAGTGCGCATTTTAGTAATTTCACAAGTTTGCCAATGTTTCATCCATTTTTATTTCCAAAATAACTGTACAGCTGTTCACTTACCGCCGACCGCTTTACCGTCGTTCGCTGTATTTCTGGGTAGAGCTTTAATTGTGTTGACAGCCATTTTAGTGTACGATTTCTTCAAATATGAACGAATAAATAAGTTAGCGTGAACGATCACATTTCGGTAAATTGCACCAACATCTACATATCGTCGATGCCTTTGCAAAACCGCCTAAATCACCGTTGTGGCAAAAATCAGATTTGGTATCCCTGAACCCCAGGCATCGCAATTTATGCACAAAAATCGAAAAATCGTTATTAAAACCACAGATTTGTAAAATAATAGCTAGAAAAAAATACCGCCTATCCAGTCAATACCTTCAAAGAAAGACAGGGTTTTCGCGTGAGTTTAAAAACAAACAAAGATTGCAATACATCCTATCTTAATTTTACTACTGGGTCCTAATTTTTTTCCTTAATTGAGTAGGCAAGGCATAATAATATCTATAATAGTGCCTTATAACTTATTTTATTTTAAGTGTGTGCGTTTCTATTTGTGAAGATACTTATTTATATACTATTTTATCTACTTGTATATTCACATTTAAACACAGTTATTACATTCTTCATTTCATTGTTGCTATAGGTTACCTCTGTGGATGACACTCCACCGCCGATCATACAAATTGGACCCTCAAATCAAACCTTACCCAAAGGCAGTGTTGCCATGCTACCATGTCGCGCTTCAGGCAATCCGACACCACGTGTCAAGTGGTATAAGGATGGGACAATGCTGCAGAGTGGCAATCGTTATACCATTGTGCAGGGTGGCTCATTGCGCATCGATGGTGAGTAGCATAGAGTACACTTGAATCAAACAGAAAACGTTTAGTTTTCATTTGATGAAAATGTGGATTGAATTGTGAAAGAAATGACAATAAACAAAATTTATTAGTGGACTGTGAAGAACGAATACTCGTTAAAGAACTTATTTTAGTGAAAATTTTTTTAAATTCGTTGTTTAATATTCCAATTAAATAACTTACAATAATATAGCCGCATTTATTTCTTTGACTTTTTTTTTTGAATTGGAGTCATCTTACATTTATATTAGAATTCTTCCAAAATTCATTTTAAAATGCATTTCAGCTGTTGGTAAAGAAATAACCTTCTAATTTTCTATTTCCAATTTCTACTCAGATTTGCAACAAAGCGACTCGGGTCTGTTTACTTGCACAGCATCCTCGGAGAGTGGAGAGACATCTTGGTCAGCCACATTGACGGTAAGTTAGAATTCTTTATATTATTTTCAGTCAGCAGTGCATACACTCCAATTCAAGAATTGAATATTTAATACTCTAGCGCCAACTGCCGTTAAGCGCGCAAAATAGATTCTATAATAGCCAAATATTTTTTTTTAAACTAAGAAAAATTATGTATTTAAATGCTACGCCAACTCTTCACTTCACTCTACTTCCCTAAATTTGCCTCAGTTGTCGCCCCAGCAGCTTTGCGTTTTATCATAAATTCAACTTTATGGCATAATTGTCGCGTCATACCACAAAATGGCAATAACTGTAAATATGCACATGCTCACGCAGACACACACACACACACACACACTCACACACACATCCACTTACTCCAAAATGCCGGCTGCACATGTGTCCACACAGCAGTGTTTGCTTTTCTGCCTACAACCAAAAGTTTTGCCGGAGGTAAAGGCACGTACTGCGTCCAATCACTGGCCCAACCAAGTCACAGCTGCGTCCATTTCATCTGCTCGGCGCCTTTTTGGACTGTGTGTGTGTTCGCTTGCGTGCTGTTGTTTGAGCAGATTTTTATGCACTCAGCTACTCGTTTATTTAAAGCCTTATTTCGCACGACGACAACGCAATCTGGGCAGCCAGTTAAAAGCAATAAATGTTTAAAATTAATTTGCTGTAAATTTTGTTTGCTTTGAATTATGCACTTAAATTTGGAAATTGTGGCGGATGAGGTGCAAAGTGTATGACGCTTCGAATATACATATGGACACCTATGCATATGTGTACATACATACATATACATAAAGTATATAGCTGCACTAATTAACAGACTGTAATTTATAGGCTATTAAGTGTGTTCGTTAATACACATTTATAAATATATTAGTAGAAATTTATTCATGTTAATGTAATCAATTGATAATGGGCCAATGGAGTTAGCAAAATAATGTAAACATTGAACATTGGTAATTAACGCGATTGCAAAAAAAAAAAATTTTCTGCATTAAGAGTATTTACTCTGATAAAAAATTTAAAATTTTGTTTCAACTTTTTTATATACGAGGCAGTCTTTTTGAACAGCACCCCTCACAGTGGTCTTGAAACAATGATAGGTATGACTAAAATGCCAACCAAAACTGCTTGCATACCTGTTTTGGAAGGCACCCATACACCATTATGCAGTTGGAATTAAAATCATATCTGCTCCTATGCCTAAAATATTGTCAAATGAAAATTTGGAAAAAATTTAACTGCAATTGTTAGTATTTCTTGTTCAACAGAGTATTCTAAAGTTATCGTTTTGTATATTAGTGTAAAAAAAAATCAGATAGTATTTTTCTCGATGATAATATTTCTGGTGTAAGCTATTTGATTGCACATCATGTCTTCTGTAAGTCATCCGCAACATAAGTGTAATCACGAAGAGAACAGATTTAAAGTGTGCGCGCCTTGTGGGAGAAAGATTAAATTCGGATCGTCAAAACCTTCAGAATTTAATATAACCGGAAAATTGGAGTGTCTTATTAAAAAATACGTTAGTGAAAATTTTAGATTGACCAATTCGAAGTTCCCATTAGGCATTTGTGGTACATGTCGTAGGGTTCTCTGTGACCGAGATAAGGATATACCAAATGCAACGCGGCCTCTTCCAAACATGCCTAACTATGAAGATTCGACAAAAGAAACAAGAACAACTTCATGCTCTTGTTATATCTGGCTCACTGCTCGGGCAACCAGCCATCCAAAAGTTATATCTACAAGGGAGAGCACATACCTTAAATGTATTGAGTGAAAAAAACTCCACCAATGGGTTGACTGCTTTGTCAGTTGGGTCAGAATTAAAAAATCATGTAAGTAAACTCGCTAAAGCCTTCCGAAGCACAGAAATGTCGGAAACATTAAAAATTCACGTGCTTCTAAATCATTTGGAACATTGTCTGCATTTTTTAGGCAACGACAGCTTCGGAATGTGGTCGGAGCAAGCTGGAGAATCCATTCATGGCGTATTTTTAAGATTTTGGCTCAATTATAAAGTTAATTCGATTGACGACCGTAAATATATAATCAATTAAAAAAAAAAACTGTCGTTGAATTTTCATCAAAACACATATGAATTTATATAAAATAATATTTTATATTGACTTTGTAAATTTATAAAATTTATGCAATAAGAATTATTAAAATATGCAATTATGTAATATTATCTCTTGAATAACTAAGTTAAAATATTTTATGCTTATATAAGAAAGTGTTATAATTATATTACCATAGACCTTCGCGATTATATAACTGGATTTGGAAAGTTCTAGATCAACATTTTATAATATTTTAAGCATAGGAGCAGATGGAATTTTATTTTCAACGAAATTTTGATCTATGATTATGTACAAAGACAGTTATGTAAGCCGTTTTGGTTGGCATTTTAGTCATAGCTATGGTTGCTTCAAGACCACTGTGCCCTCCCAATGCCCATTTTTCTTTTTAGCTGATATGATATGTATAATTCATAAAAAAGTCGAGCGGAATATTGGACCTTGGAGGTTATTTTGAAGGTTAAGAATATTTTTAACTCATAATCATAATTTTTTTTATCAGGGAAGCAGAAATAAGGGGAAATCTACATTTATATAAGATATCATGATGGGGTCCATATGACAGCCAAGGTTGTATGAACGTCAATTTCAGCTGATCTATGTGAGGTATAGTATTGAGGCAAGTTACTATAGGTACGTATCAAAAAATAAATAATATGAAAAAAAAATTTAAAAACTTTACAGTAAAAATCTGAAGATTTTTCACAGAAAAACAATATTTTGCGTAAAAAATTATAAATATCTTATCTTAAAGTAGAATTTCCCATAATTTCCGAGTCCGCAATTTAAAAATAATCTTCACTTTGAATTTACCTAAAATATGTGTAACCTCCAAGGACATTATGCTTCTCGAAATCGGAAATATAAATGGGTAGAGCTGCTATCCGAGGTATCGGCTATGGCAATCGGCGCTGATCATAAGTTTGATGAAAAGTGAAGCGAAGAAAAAATTGTTCCTAACCGTCTGGTGCCCAAAGTATTTTTGCCAAAAAATAACCAGAGGTAACTCTAAATGGAAACCTGAAGCGGTAAATCCACGTTGAGCTAAAGGAAAATCGGAGAATATTTTGTAAAAGTAGGGGTCCGCGGCCGAGTTTAGTACTTTGGCTATAAATAGGTTTAGTCAGGCCGTGAGCAAGGCAAAAATTACTATGTACAACCTTAAATGAAATTCATTCGATGCCGATGCCCGAAGTATGTAAGATAAAGATACAACTTAGAACACGGTACCAACTTTATATTTAACTGATATCTTTCCGCAAAGCAACTTTTTCTTATAAAATCGTCTAACTTGAACATCGCTATATTCTTACTAAAGCAGTTCTGAAAAGCTGCACTCATTTGATGAAAAATTTGCTGAATGTATCTGTAAATAAACTATTAACAAGTAATTTTTAGCAAAAAAAAACCGACTCAAAAAAAAAAAATATATATATCTATATATTTCATGATTCAATGATCGGATCTAAACCAAATTAGTATGGGACCACCTCTGAGACATTACCTTTCCGTTGCAAAAAGAATAAAAAGGTTGACGTGGTCCAAAGTTATGCGGTAACACAAATAAAAAAAATAAATAAATAAAAAAATATTCCGACGAACTGATAACCTCCTCCTTTTTTGCAAGTCGGTTAAAAATAACCATTAAGCATAGCGAGAAAAACAAAATCATCACCCATTTATGAATTCGCATTTAAGTTTAAACATAAAACGAGCAAATTTTTAATGTTTTCTCAAGTAAAGGAAAAAGAAATAATATCATATTCAAAAAATAATTTGCAAATCTGCACGCATTTACGGGTTTTCGTCAAAAACTCATTTGCTTGTTTCGCCGCTAAGCAACGCCAAACATTTAATTGTGCATACTTCCGTATCAGACAACAAGAACAAGCACAACAAGAATCAAACTTGAAACAACAAACAGCAATAAAAATATTTTAATTTGCATTTTCTTGATGAGAAATTTGTAAAATTTGCATGCGCAAAAATAAATTCAGCGGAAAATCGTTGAGCCTTAAGTGATAAAGTTGTGCAAAAACTATGTACTTAAATGTGAAAATATTTAGCAGCAGTGGCAAGTGGAGGCGCATAATTGAGGCAAACGGACGGTTGGATGAGCTCAGCGGCAAGTATTTTGTATATAAAACAAGCACAAGAACGGTGCTGCTCTTATACCTTTCATGAACATCAGAAAGTTTTACCTCAACTTGTTACTATACTTAAAACAGGGACTGAGAACGAAAAGTGTGTTTGAAACTAAATGTCGTTCTCGTAGTTTTGTTCTCCAGGAACACTTAAAAACCCAAACCGAAATGAGAACTAAACCTTTGAGAATGTTTTCACAAGAACGAAAGCGAGAACAAAACTCTCGAGAATGTTCTCACGGGGAATCATATAAGAGTAAAACCCTGTGGAACGTTGCCAAAGAGAACAAAATGCGAACATAACTTTCGGGAACGTTCTGGCAAAGAACAAAAGTCTAAGGACCTCTATTTCGAAAAACTATTTGGGAACTAAAGTCACACGTACCTTTTGACAGAGAAAGAAACGGGAACAAATCTTTTCTGAACTATTCGCCAAGAATGGAAACGTGAAAAACGATTTTCTGATAGCGTTCGATTAGTTTCAAATGTTTGATCGGATTTCTTGATAGATAGACGGACAGACAGTCATACAGACAGACGGACATTGCTAATTCGAATCAGCTGGACGTTCTAATCACTTTGGTATACTTTTCCATGGATCTATCTCTTCTTCTTCTGGTACTGACAAACATCAAACTGAAGTTATATATATTTAGTACCATTTCATGGTCATGAAAGGTATAACCTACATACATATGTACACTAATATGTATGTAGATAAATGCACTAAGCATCTGGTAAGTGGCACAGGATTAGTTCGAATGCCTAGTGCGTGGCA